ATTTTCACAATTCCAGAACCGGATCTCAGTCATGCATGGATGGATTTTGTTCAGATTTAGCACAATGTGTTGTACATATGCAGGTGCATTTTGGTCATGATCTGCTTTGAATGTATATGTCACTCAAATATGAACGGAACGGGGACGTGTCATTGACAATGACTTGTTGTTATAGAGAATAGTGGCCCATTGTGCCAATTTTGTGCCTTTAATTGTTATAGAGAATAGTGGCCAATTGTGCCAATTTTGTGCCTTTAATTGTTATAGAGAATAGTGGCCCATTGTGCCAATTTTGTGCCTTTAATTGTTATAGAGAATAGTGGCCCATTGTGCCAATTTTGTGCCTTTAATTGTTATAGAGAATAGTGGCCCATTGTGTCAATTTTGTGCCTTTAATTGTTATAGAGAATAGTGGCCCATTGTGCCAATTTTGTGCCTTTAATTGTTATAGAGAATAGTGGCCCATTGTGCCAATTTTATGCCTTTAATTATTATAGAGAATAGTGGCCCATTGTGCCAATTTTGTGCCTTTAATTAATTGTTATAGAGAATAGTGGCCCATTGTGTCAATTTTGTGCCTTTAATTGTTATAGAGAATAGTGGCCCATTGTGCCAATTTTGTGCCTTTAATTGTTATAGAGAATAGTGGCCATATGTGCCCATTTTGTGCCTTTAATTGTTATAGAGAATAGTGGCCCATTGTGTCAATTTTGTGCCTTTAATTGTTATAGAGAATAGTGGCCCATTAATAATTATGTAAATTAGATTATGCATTGTTATGCAAATGAGTTACTATACTGCCCAACATTCTTTGGACACGGTTACTAACTTTTTTTAGTAACCATGTCTTGGATACTATCTGCGTATTTTGCCACAGAAATACTGTTCATGCCAAGGATACATGTATGTGGCCACCTCTCTAACAAATGTGACTATTTCGGCATTTACTAGGAATGATTGAACACAACCCCAATCATCCATTGCTAAATAGATCTTTGGGGAAGTCAAAGTATCTATTATGTCTATACTGTGTCCACTGGGAGCAGCAATGTTTTTAAAATCTATCTAGTCATTGCAAATACCCTAAAATTACTGAGATTTCTGTGGTGTAAATTACAGTATATTCTTTAATAATGGTGTTGTAATTACAGATCTGCACGTGCAGCGGAAGAACAAGAAAAGAAAGCCTTGTCGAAAGGAGAAACGCTTCCTACAGAAAAAAGATTTGATTCTAATTGCATCACGCCTGGTACTGAGTTCATGGTAAAGCTGAATGAACAACTCAAATATTTCGTTAATAAAAAGATTACTGAAGATGAAATGTGGCGTGGTTTAAGGATATATTTATCGGGTCATGAGGTGAGGTTGAATCATGCCTTTAGCCAGAAATAAAAAGATGTCTGTCCAAAAATAGCATTGCCACCAAATCCGCAGTTGCTACCAATGTTGAAAGCCAAGTATACATACATATACTGTAAATAGGACATGTTATTTTTCTATCTATAGTTGTTTTGGCTATTTATGAATGTTACTGGCATACCGGTAATTACAACGATACTGAACAAAATAATTAATATTGTTCAAAATTTTTGTTCCATTGCTTGACATTCTAATTTGTTGTTCTTTTTAATTTAAAGTTGCCAGTTTAGTACAGAGAGACAGGTGGCTGGCTAATACTTTATTGTTACTGTAAAATGATTAATTATTCACTGGGTTTTATTTTGGCTTATTTCGCTGACTGGAAAATGCGCTAAATTAAAACCCAGTTAATATGTAAAATTTAACATAAAACATATTATCTAAATGATAAAACCGTGAATTTAAAACCCACTGAATATGCCTGAAATGGTAAATCAGTGAAATTTAAACCCAGTGAAAATTAGTCATTTTACAGTATTTCTTTCTTTTTCTTTTATCCTACGTAATAATCAGCACCATGTACTAGTACCATATATGGACATACTAGATCAGATTTATGTAGAAGATTTTGATTTGATTTTATAAATTATAAATTGAAATTTTATCAAGAAGTCATGCTATTATGTGCAAATGTTTTACCCAATATTGAGAATTGCTATGAGCTCTAGTTTTATGAAACAATAGATGGATAAACAATAGATGGATAAACAAAGCAAATACTATATAGTGATTGAATTTTCATTCCCATGTGGCTTTTATAAATCAGAAACCTGATGCCAATACCATTCTCTTGAGGATGATAATTCTTGATATTGGTCAAAACCAAGTACAATAACCGACTGTCTCATACTTGAGAAATGATATTGTAAAGTACCCTCTGTACTATATTTTCAGGTGGAATTTATTTTTGCTGAATGGATGAATTAGTGAAAATAAAAATCCAGTGAAATTGCCTTTAGTTATTTCCTGTATATTAGTTCAACTCATCAACAATATATGAAAATAAACTTCACACACAAAAGCCAAAATGTCTATTCAGCGAAAATAATTCCAGCTAAAATAAAGTATTTTACAGTAGAAAGTGTAGAAACAGGTGTATTCCTAAAATTCTTCATTTTGGTGTTACTCTTGACAACATAGCTTTGAGTACAAACCAGGGATATCAGGAGACCTCTTTATATCATACTATATGATTGTGTTCTACAGACACCTGGGGAAGGTGAACATAAAGTGATGGAGTTCATTAGAGCTGAAAAAGCAGATCCTAAGTATGATCCAAACACAAGGCATTGTCTGTATGGTCTAGATGCTGATTTGGTAAGATATGAATTATTGATTGTATGTCAAATAATATGACAGAATGCAAGGATGAATTTGCACTGTACACATGTAAATTCTTGTGCTATGACATGTGCATATGTGCATACGTGTTTTTTAATATATTTCAAATGAAGATCTGTTTTCAATATCAGTGGTTACATTGGTTTGCATTTCCGATTAAAATGTGTGCCATAATGCAAGTAATAATAATAATAATAATAATTTTCTTAAGCGATGTTCACTGTGTCACACACCGCTGTACAAAACATTGAATACAAATCACATTAAGAGAAAAGTTAACAGTATTATATAAAAATAAAATGAAAAGTTTTCAAAATACTTTAAAAATAACATTACCATTAAAATGGGATTTAAAGGGGAACTAAATAGAGCCTATTTTGGTGTTTGTATTTATCAAGTTATGTATATTGATTATAAATTTGAAAAAAAAAATGATTATCTTCAGAGTTATGATGATTTAAATATGAGAAACCATAAACCTGCGAAGGACTTCCGTTTGCGCCATCTTGCCATCAAAAAACGCCCTCATGAGGTATAAACAGGTAAGGTAACAAAACATGATGACGAAATAGTATCTGATTAAATATAAGCAACTTAGGGAGCCATAGTTGGCTGGACTGGTGAATTGAATTCTAGTCTACGTTGTTTCGACTTTTACGTTAATGTTATTTACAAGCGTATCAACATACAAACATTATGGATGTGCGATTGATCGAGACAGGCATTTTGTTTTGTTTCTTGTCTAACTGTCTAATAAATGCTGTT